TCATTTTTGCTGTGGTTGGTATGCAGCTCTTTGGTAAAAGCTACAAGGAATGTGTGTGCAAGATTGCAAAAAATTGTGAACTCCCTCGCTGGCACATGAATGATTTTTTCCACTCATTCTTGATCGTGTTCCGAGTACTTTGTGGAGAATGGATAGAAACCATGTGGGACTGTATGGAGGTTGCAGGTCAAGCCATGTGCCTTACAGTCTTCATGATGGTTATGGTGATTGGAAATTTAGTGGTATGTAATTTTTAAAAATATAAATATTTATTCTAGATCATATTAAGAAGTATCATATTTTTAAATCTCTTAAGACATCCTCTTTTCAAGCAGAATGACTTTTCGTGCAATTGTCAAACATGCACTGAAATACTAGAAGTGTTTGGTAAAGAAAAATATATTTGCCAACCTATGAAAATACGGTGGTGCTTCAAAGTTTGTGAACCCTTTTGAATTTGCAATATTTCTGCATAAATAGGACCGATTTTCCTCAATAAATAAATGAACTAGTATAATGTTTTTGACTCATTTTTTTAATTGGGTTCACTTTATCTAGTTTTAGGACTTGTGTGGACAACAGATCATGTTTTAGGTCCTATTTTTGCAGAAATATTGAAAATTCAAATGGTTTCACAAGCTTTTAAACCCCACTGTAGTTCCCCTCTATATACAACTTGACTGCTGTATCTGCAGTTCACTCTTTCAAACTAGCTACTTATTCTGAATAAGGTAAATAGCTTAACTGTAAATTATTACTATCAGGGTTCAAAGGTGAACATCAGTAGGAACACACACATGCATAAACAACTTTTGTTCATGAAGTCATATTTCCTTCAAGATTCATAAATTAGAAGGAAACCTTTAGAGGATGCAATGAGAATCTGTCAACACTCATTTTCCAAGGCAGGGTTACTGTCAGGTTCAGCCCAAGAAACTTAGCGGGACAATTCAGGAACAGTTCAGTTACTTTATTAACTTATACCTACTAGACAGAATCTTGCCATACTAATCTAACCCCCAATGACAGCAACTAAACACTCTAAATTCCTTAGGGGGGTGCCAGTCTCATCCTCTTAGTTTTCACATGCTCAGGCTGTGGGCTGA